ACAGTCGTTTGGAGATCGCTCTGCTCAGATTTACTCTTGGCGGTGGCCGCCCTCCGGCACTGAGCACTCCGGGCAATCCTTGATAGAACCACCGTTTGAGCGTGAGCCTTGACGGGGGCAACAGTGCAGCGGCGAAGCACCCTGATGCCCCCCCGAGCCACCACCACCCATGCAGCACCACGCTCTCAGACTCCTCCACCTTCTCTTTTCTTTCCACTTACCCCGACCCGCTTCCCCCGCCCAGCTCCTCCTCGTCGTTGCATTGTGGTTCAAAGCGGTCAGAGAGCAGCGCTGCCTTTCATCGAGCGCCATCTGTGGGCGCAGTAGTTTGCAGAGAGAGAGAGACCTCTCCGTGGTGGGCAAGGCCCGCGATGGAGCCAATCGACGCTGACATGGAGATGGATTCTGCGTCCGCGTGTGGCACTGCGGTTTCGGCTTCCAGGGCTCGCAAGGCCAAAGAGGGCACTCGCATCGTGTGTCATTTGTGCGTGACGCCGTCCCCTTATTACAAAACGGCGTGGGGCCTCGACTGGTGCCAGGAGTGCTTTGCCAAAATCAGGAGCCACCACAGACAGATCAGGGGAGGCGCAGATGGCAGGGCGAAGTTCCAGGATGACAAGACGATGATGCACCAACACCCTGAGCAGTGGCGAGCTCAACCCATTTTCCAAGGCGGTCAGGTTGCCCAGCAGGCGAAGGCGATGAGCAGGATGAACAACAAGTTCGAAGAGACGGCGAAGCTCAACCAAGAGGTTGTCATTCAAGACGAGGTTGCCTATACCAAGTCGCAGTTCAAAATTCACCGAAAGGAAGAGGATCCAGACGATGACTTGGAGTCCGTCGATCTGGAGGACGAGTTCGACGAGCTGTTCCAGGCGCAGGAGAAGGACGGGAACTACCACATGTATGACAAGTCGATGCACAGTGTGGTGTGGTTGTTGGACAAGCCCCGCAAGCGGATCTTGAGTGGCAAACAGAGTCTTGAAGGAACGAGGAAAGGTGACGGGCCATCCACCGCCGCGTCGTCATGCGGAACGGCGCATGGGAGCGCCCGAGGCTTATTGGCAGTGCCGACTACGGTGGCGGAGACATCCGACGGCGAGACCCTCGAGAAGCGCAAGAAGATTACTGGCAAGACGTCCCCGCGTCCGAATGGCTCACCTGATGGAGATAAGGACGCTGGATTGACAGATGGTGTGAAGTTCCTGCAGGCGCGCAGCGAGCTCATCAGCAACGTCCGCAAGCTGGGCGAGGAGCTGACGGGCAAGAGGGGCATGAAGGTTACGCTGAAGGCCCTCTCAGACGACCTGAAAAAGAAAGGCACCGACCTGAACTTGCTCCCGTATGCTCCAGACAAGATCATGCAAGAGATTGATGAAGTGAATGGTCATGTGCAGGCGCTGCTGAAGAAGGTCCCGAACATCCAGAAGCACGAGGTGGCGGAGTCGGAGAAGTCGCTGAGCGACCTGACAAGTTCGATCAGCATCATCAAAGACAAGCACGTTGACCTCAAGAGTGCAGGCGACCACCTCATCGCCGAAGCTCGCAACAATGAGCGCTCGAACCGCCAGAAGGACTACTGGGTTCAAACGAAGGTGAATGCGGCGCTGACCAAGAACGGCTTCGGCAAGCAGCACGCCAAGCGGCTCAGCAAGATCATCTTCAACTTCGAGACGGCGGATCTGACGAAGATCCACGTGCATCCAACTACATCCGAGGACTCGGCCCACGGCATCAAGATCAACCGCGATGAGGACACACTGGACTTCAACCACGTTTCGGTATGGGCTGCTGGCAACGCCTGGGCCAACAATTTCAAGAAGATCTTGAACGAGGACTGCGCGAGTGCAGGCCAAGCTCACCACCATGAAGGCTGCCCTGTCTAAGAATACCACGTGGGCGGGCGGCATGTGTGTGGTGGAGGGCGCCCACTGCGCCGCCGCCAACGCCGACCTCGACCCCGACATCTTGGACGGCGACGGGAGCGAGCCGTGGATGTTTGCTTGCCGTGCGCACTGCTGCAGGTACGGGCCGAAAGCCTACCCTCTCCCAGGTGCCGCATCGTTGCTGGTGGTGCTGGAGGGCCCAATCTACGTTCAACTGACGGCGATCTCCAATATCACAGAGCAAGGGTTCACGATGACCGATTACCCGTCCTTTCTGGAGACGCCTGCTGGTCAGAAGTACCAGGACTCATCCATCGTGACGGTGCGCTTGATGGACAATGCTGCCATCTTCATCCCCCACGGGCTCGCCGTGCACATGGTGCACATCCCGACGGCTGCGGCAGATGACGACGAGACCAACCCACCGCCGAAGAAGAAAGGCAAGTCGGCAGCACCGAAGACGACTGATCAATCGAAGGTCGCATTCGTGCTCAGCATCCCGCTCCTGCGTGCTGCCGACATCAGCGGTGTGGACGAGAAAGTGCGACAGGTTGTCTCAGCCTGGAATGAGACACACTTCAAAACTAAGAATGAGGATTCGATGTGGGCCAACCGTGCAAAGTGGTTCCGTGCTCACTACAAGTAGAGTGGGCTGGACGACCGCCCAGGAGCCTCCACCACGGGCAGCAGAGGCAACATCGTCAATATCAGCATCGGAGCAAGTGTCATCATCATTATCATCATCATCATCATCACTACCTTCGCCGACGATGGTTGCCACGATGGCGGCATCGATGCCATCATCGTGACAACCACCGTCATCGGTGTGGCCATCATCGCCACTGCCACCATCGGCAATAATGATCCCACCGCCGACCTTATCACCGATTGACGGGGGGTAATTCTCGCCATCTCCTTATTGGGCCTCATCCTCCCGCCTCCTCCCTCCTCCACCTCCCGTTCCTCCCCGTCCCCTCTCTTGATGGAGTGGGCATAGGTTCCGACTTCGATCGGACTCAGAGTAGGCCTCAGAATCGGGGTCGGGGCCAACTCGGATTCTAAGATGCCCCAATGAGGAGACAAGAAAGGGGATACGGCACGTGGAGGGAGGGAAGGAGATGGAAGACGGGAGGAACAGGAGGAGAGGGGCGGGGGTGGAGGGGAGACGGGAGGTTTAGGAGGGGACGGAAGGGCAAGGGGAGAAGGAGGGATGAGGAGGAGGAGGACGACGAGGAGTAGAGGGACGGAGTAGTGGAGTAGAGGGACGGGGTGAGGAAGGGATGGGGGGACGATGACAGCAACGACGAGTGAGAGAGCGGGGAGCCCTGGGCGGGGAGAGAGTGCGCGGCCCGCCCTCCCCCGCCCGTCGGCGGCCGCCCGTGGGCGGCTTCACGGCGGAGGCGGGGCGCGCCGCCGCCCACTGCCGAGAAGAGGGAGGGGGGAGGACAACGAGGACGAGGAGGGCTGACGGGACGCTTAAACAACGACCCCCCTAAACAATAGAAACTGCCCCCCCCTCCTTGTGTCTCTACTCCTCCTCCGTGTCCTCATCTTCCGTGTCAGTATTCCCGTTCTCTCCCATCCACCGTTATTATTCCTCGTCATCTCTCATCCTTGTTCGTCCTCCATGCCCCTTCCTCGTCGCCCCCACTAGGCTCCGAACGTTCCGCATTATATATCCTCCTCACGTTCTCTCCTTTCCCCTCCCTCCGCCTCCTCCTCCTCCTGTTTTTTTCCACCGCCCTCGATGCTACGCACGCAGGCCCAAACAAAGATAGGCGCACTCAAAGTGCAGCTAAACAACTCAGACATGTATGACTCACGATCGGCACGCACGCACAACTGAGCCAGGTAAGACACGTCATGGGTTCACCCAGATAACGCAACACTTACGACACCCATGACTAGCACAACCAGACAACACGGCCAGGTAGGGCCATGCATAGATCTAGCCACGCACCACCACGACCAATGGTACGTGTACAATCATGCAGGGAACGCGTTGTGAAATCTAGTGGGCGCCGTGCAGTCTGCGCGCGTCCTGCGCCTGCATCACGCGGCATCACGCACGGGGCGCGACGGTTGCTAACGTGCGAAAGGTCTGTTGCACGCCCCTCGCATTCGCATGGGTGTTGGCGATCTATGTTGCAGGCGATGGCAGGTTTACACAGGGTGTGTTGTCGGGTTTGCCCCCCAGCGCTGGTCTGGTATGGGTTCCTGCTCTAAACCATTGAATTGCGATGGGGCTACTACAGCCCAAGGTCTTACCAGAGGGGGGGGGGGGGGGGGGCGCCACAGTTTTGAGCACGGCTCTGATCCCCACGGGCATCCAAGGGAAGATGGGGTCATCGAGTTGGACGTCCTCAAAGAGGACGCGCCACCCCTTCCTCCCAGTAGGTTTTCAGGAGATGCCAGGGGCAATAATCGACCTAGGCACCCACCAGATCGAACTCAAGCGTCTGGGGGTAAAGGCGGACATGCGTCGGCTACCCACCGGACATCGCACGATGCGCCTAGACGATTTTAGAATGCCCTTCGGGGAGCAGTTTTCAAGTGCACCCCCTCGGTGCTGAGCCAGCGTCCGGAGGTCAAAGAGCAAGATTTCAGGGGCGAGACGATGTCTAGGTACACCATCGTCTCCCCGTCATCATCCTCTAGGGTTGAGTTATGTTCTTCCTCCCCCTCGGGAACCCCATGGGGCCTCGCGCCCAGGGCAGCTGACCGACTCAGGGCCCCGGGAAGGTTCGGGAGCTCCGGAGGCCCCAGATGGCCAAGACAACAACTCCCAGGGATACAGATCGGAGCTCATACAGCTTAGCGCCCTCCCGGATCGAACTAAGGATAGCAGAAAGGTACTTAGGAAAACCGAAGGAGAAGAACGGGCACGACGGCAGGGACGACCGGGAAGGCGAGAGGCTCGTGAACTTCGGTCGTTTCAGAGACGAGAGACGGCCAGAACCAAACAGTCGATCGTCTGGATCATCGCGTTCGTCATGACGCAGCGGCTGGGCTCGAGCATTCCAGCAGCCAGCTATCCCAGCGAGCCCGACAGAGAGATCTCCCAGCGACCTTATCGCCACGTCGGGTTCGGCAGCACACTTGTGAGACGGAGCTATGCCGCCGCCGGGTGTGAACTCGGTCAATGGCCCCCGCGGCTCCTCCAACTGCAAGGGCAAGAAGAAGGAACAGACCGAGGCGCGGCGCCGGGCCAACCGCCGCATACGGCGATGGGCGAGCAGCGAGCAGCTGGGCGATCACCAGCAGTGGACCTACGCAGCCACCGGGGCGCCAGTTCCACAGTGCATGACCCGCGGCCAGAGGTCGTGGGCGGCCGCCATGGTTTTCTGGCTCTCCAAGCTGGCCGACGAATTTGGCGGAGTGATGATCAACCGCCGTTTCTGGCCGACGAATCTCGTCATGCGCATGCGGGTGATCCCGCAGCAGTTCTACACGTGCCGCCGCATGCCCATCCACGTAGAGTTTGGCAGCAATGGGCACGGGCGCTGGTGGGTGCGTGGGCTAGGCACCATGCGGGTCGCCTACCAGGACACCAAGCCAGACAAGTCCACGCCCAAAAAGAAGATGACCTGCGCGTGCAAGCGCCAGACCGCCGCCTGCTCGCTGCGCGGGAAGGGTTTCGCCCAGCTGGGCGGATCCGATCCAGAGTGGCAGGCCCTGGTGGCGGCCCCAGCCCCTCCGCCAGGAGTGCCCGCGGCGAGGGCGTCGGCGGGGGCGGTGCCGCCATGGCCAGCGTCGGCCGACGCTCAGGCAGCTGGGACACCCTATCAGCAGATCGAGTCAGAGCAGCCCGACGTGATCATGCACGACGTGGAGGAGCAGGCCAAGGAGCAGAGGGCCCAGCGTCGCCGACAGGCAGCGCCGTCTCCAGCCAAGAGAGCGGCGATGGGACCCTCGGCCAGCTCGGGCGACGGCAACGACGAGACCATGCGCCTCCTGCAGCAGATCGCCAACAAGCAGAATCAGCAGGAGTCCTCCATCAACCAGCTCTGCGCGACCGTGTCGGGCCAGATGGAGGCGGTCGCGACCCCCCAGTCGAAGGCGCAGCAGCTTTCAGCGCACTCGTCGACGGCGCAGGTCCTGACCGGACCTGCCGCGACGAAGTCACCGCCCCCACTGGTGCCACGGGGGCCGGTCCCCAGGGCGCCCCGAGAGCCAGCGCCCAAGGCGCCTCAGGCACCAGGCCAGAAGAGCGAGGCGGAAGTGTCAAGCCCAGAGGCAAGTGCGAGCGCGAAGCACGAGGAGCCGGGGCAGGGACCAGCCGCAGCCAGGCCACCGCCAGCGCCGGCGGGAGCGGAGCATCACAGCATCGCCACCCCTCCGGCACTCCAGCAGCCCCCCCCGCTACAGACGCCGCCCCACGGAGTCTCGATCGCAGCTATGCCCTCTCCGAGGTGTGGGACTCCGTCGGCGGCCGCGGCCGCGACTCAGGAGGGGGGCTGGGGCTTCGTCGGCACGGCCCCAGTGGTGAGCGCCTACCCGTCGTACGGCGCCGGCCCCGTGACTCATCAGATCTCGAGTGCGGCATGGCCTCCGCCAATGGGCTACGCCAAGACCAGGGTGGACAATCCTCGGGGCCTTCGCGATCAGCAGGGAGCTCTTCTCTCGTCGCCCGCGATCAGCAGCTTCGCGATGCCATCGACGCCGGGGGGCACGCAACAGCAGCCCCCGGCGACGGCTCCAGCGGCGTCGGCCCAGCAGCTCACGCGGGCGCAGAGCGGCCCGATGCAGGACGGCGGTCAGCAGTCTCAGCAGAGGGTCGAGCGCCCGACGAGACCTTCGGCGGCGGGGCCTTCGTCTGCCGAGGGAGACCCGTGGATGCCGACGGAGAACCCAGAAGAGGCGGCCTGGAGGCAGCAGCAGCAGATGAAGGGCGCCGAGAAAGAGCGCCTGGCCAAGGAGGGGTGGGAGCAGACTGGGTGGAAGACGTGGAGCCACGAGGGCGGCGGCAAGTGGGCCCGAGCCGGCACTCGGGCCTCCGCGACAGCTCCAGTACGAGGATAGGGGATCCCAATCACCGAAGCATTTTCGAAGTCAGTTCAGGTGCGCGGTTTCAGGAACTGGGCAGGGTGTTCGAGGTTAAACCGATCCAGGAAACGGACGGCAGAACGACGTTCCACTGTCCGGAGCTCGACGACACCATTTTCGGGGACCAGTGGCCTGACGATCGAGAGGTATACCTAACGAACGGGGAAAGGAGAAAACTGGGAGAGGGGGGGGGGATGCTCTGACAAAACGAAGCTTTACAGAGCCCAGCTTAGGAACCGGGCCTTAGTCGAGGTCTTTTCCCTTCCTAGGATCGCTCACTACTCCGACCACGCCAGAGCGGTGTGCCTGGGCAGCTTCGACAAGGAGGGAGGATGGGACTTTCTAAACAAACAGCACCGACAAGAGTTTCGCGATTTTCAGCCAAAGCAGAAACCCTGGATGACCATCCTGGAACCCCCGTGCGACGCCTTCTCCATAACGCACAATGCCACGGCTCATCTGGAAACGGCTCCGGAGCAGCGCCGCAAGAACGCTGAGGCTATCGTTTTGCTTGGCTTCGCGATAGAGGCGGCTTTAGAGCAGCACCAACTGGGGAGAAAGTTCGCCTTCGAACACCCGGTCACCGCGGGGTCCTGGAGGACCGAGATGGTCCGCTACATGCAGGGCTTCCCTGGGGTTGAGTCCATGTGCGTCGATCTCTGTCGTTTCGGTTTATCGGCGACGGAAGATGGGGCTTTGTCGAAGAAACCCACGAGGTCAATGTCTAATTGTGATGCATTTGGGTCTAGGTGCGCTGGTGACCATTGGCACGCTCATCTGATTGGCAGTTCAACGGCAGCTAGAGCTCGAGTGTACCCGCCAAAGTTTGCCCGAGCCTTGGCCGAGGCCGTTCGGGCCAGCACGAACGCGGCTCTTCCAGCGACGCCTCCAGGGCAAATCAGGACTGCGAGAGAGGCAGGGGGGCCAGAGCTGCACCTTGCCGAGAGCTATCCGGCCGACGCCGACGGGGGCGAAGCCCTCGAGGGCGATCCGGAACCAGAGGGGGGTGGCCCAGGATCGCCCCTTTGAGGTCACCCCGAGGGTCAGACGGCTCATACATGAGGTTCACGTCAACTCAGGTCACCCCCACAAAGACGTCTTTCTGAAGGTTCTCAGAGGCGCCCAGGCTAAACCAGAAGTGCTCCAGTTTGTGCAGGACGAGTACCAATGCGGCGATTGCGCCGCGCACTCTCGTCCGGCTTGCAGTCGACTTGTGGCGGTGCCTAGAACGTTTGAATTTAATCGTATCATCGCGGTAGATACGTTCTATGTCACCTTTAAAGGAGGAACAGATGGCGTTTCCCAATGTCATGTGTCATGGGACCAACTATCAGGTCGTGGAAATGTACGATGGCACGGCCCTGGGGGCCTGCAGGGCCTTTATGAGGGCCTGGGTGGGACCCTTCAGGCATCCCCTTTTCGCCACTACGGACGGAGGGCCTGAGTTTCGGGGCCATTTCGGACGAGGTTTGGAACATTTGGGGGTCTTTCAGCATGTCACGAACTCCGAAATTCCGCGGCAGAACGGCCGGGCCGAGAGGCACGGGGGCCGGGTCAAAGATATCCTGGTTCGGGCCTCCGGGACCACCCTCGCCACCACCACGCCGGAACTCGAAACGCTGGTTCACGAAGTGACGGCTGCGAAGAATCGGCACCTGCACCGGGGGGGGGGTCACTCCTTGCCAGATGGTTTTTGGCATTAACCTTCGGACGCCCAACGACATCACGTCTGACGACCCTCTGCAGGTGGTGGGAACGGATGACTTATTTCCTGGCTCTTGGGATCAGGACACCGCGGCGGCCGAGTTCGCCCGCAGGGGCGCTATCAGGAGGTTGGCCCGAACAGAACTGTTCGAGTCGCCCAACCAACGTCGGCTGGCCAAAGCAGCACACGCACCAATGCATCGGGATAAGTACTTCTCCCCAGGTCAGTGAATTTACGTCTGGGGGCGGGCCCCCCAGGGGGGCCAGAAAACTTTCGCCCTTCAAAGGGACAGGTGGGTTGGTCCGGGACTCGTGGCGCTGCAAAACGGCACGTCGGTTTGGGTGGCGATGAGGTCCCGTCTCTGGAAGTGCTCCACCGAGCAGGTCCGGTTGGCCACGACGGAAGAATCCCGGGTAGCGGAGATTCTCGCAGATTCGTTTGTCCAACAGCTTCTCAGGGAGGCCCAGACCAGTGCGCATCGGGCTGTCACGAACGTCCCCAGTGAGGGGCCGCCCCCCCGGAGCGTGGGCTCCAGATGCTCCTGTAGAGGTCGCCTCTTCCCCTGAGGCGGCGCCTGCTGTAGAGGCCGACGGCGGAGCCGCCGCGGAGGAAGGCCCTGACATAGCACCTCCTTCTGTTGTTTCAAGAGAGGGGGGGCGTTATAGGAGGCCAAACCGGGGCTCTCCCATTTTTGCCTCCTCCAGGTCTGGCTCCGATTCCTGAAGAGGTGACCCTCCCAGCTCATTCCGAAGGGGCACGAGCCCCCGAGTCACTGGAGAATAGATCTGAGGTTCCGGTCTCGCCCGGGCCCTCCAGGCAGACATCTGGGCAGTCACAGAGAGCTCGCAGCGTCACGGAGCGAGACGGCGATTCGGGCCGCGCCATTCGCTCAAAGCCCACCCCCCCACAGGGGGAAAAGAGAGACAGAGAGCCAGGTGTGGTCTCTCCCGGCGGCCCTCAATTTGAAGCCTCGGCAGCCAATGTTCCGCCTGCCAGTGCCCCTAGGCTTGCGCTGTCCGATTCTGCCTCTCAGCATCGCTCAGCGGAGACAGTGGGCCCTGGTCGGCTCATTCGCTCGATGCAGGATACCGAGGGACTTAGGCGTTTGGATGGAGGGAGTGGTAGAATGGCTCGCACTCCAGGGGAGGCCTTTCGGGGAGTTCAGGAGGGCAGAGTGAGACAGCAGATTAGAGAGCTCGAGGCCCCCGCCCGACAGAGGTCTCACTCGCCGCGAGGAGGAGACAGCGCCGAGAACGGCGGAGGCACGGCGATGGCCCTTCTCGCCCATATGGACGAGGAGGTCGACCTTCTCGGCCAGTTAGAACATGAAAGTCAATCCCAGGGATGGAGTGGGTCTAGGGAGACTTACGCCAACGGAAACGCCGATGTGGAAATCGCCCCCGGGGAAAACAGGCCCGCCCCCCTTTCCCTTCTGGCCGATAGGGGAGCCGAGGTCCAATATAAGCGTCTCAGCCCAAAAGAAAAGAGGGAGTTCGACATTTCAGATGCGAACGAATGGAAAGCCATATCCGAGGGAACCAAGGCTGCGATCGTTCATCCCCCCAAGGAAGCCAGTGAGCTTCGCCGGTTATTCCCGAGCAGGATCGTTTCGAGTCGCATGGTTCGCAGGTGGAAACCGCAGGAGGGAACCTTTTCGAAGGAGAAAGCTAAATCGAGGTGGCGTGTTCGGGGCCATCAGGGCGAAGATACGGCAGAACTCCAAGTCTACGCCCCTGCCCCATGCATGGAGGCCCTCATGTTATTTCTAGTGACGTCTCTTATGTACCGTCTTACTATCTATATTGGGGACATCAAACATGCTTTCTGCCACTCCGAACCTCTCAAGCGCGCTCGAGGCCAAGTCTTCGTGGAACCGTGCGACGGAGTCCCGGTTCCGCCCGGCTCACTCATCGAGCTGATAGCGCCCGTCTACGGCCTAGACGACGCGCCGCTCGCCTTTCACCGCACCACGGCCAATGTCATGAAGTCGCGGGGCTTCGAGCGCACTAAGCTCGAGCCCTGCTGGTTCGTGGAGTGAGCCCGCGGCGGGTTGCAGGCGCAGGTGCTGGTGGAAGTAGATGACTGGGCTATAGCGCTCAGGGAAGGCAAAGAGAAAAACTACCTGGACCCTTTTTCAGGAGCGTTTCACGTTCGGGAAGATGAAACTCCTGGACGCCGCGGGGGTAGAATACATGGGCCGCAGGCTTCGATTCACCGGGGGGACGGGATACTCGTCGATCAGGAGATATACATTCTGGAACAGCTTCACAAGATCACTCTCGCAGGGGGGATCATGCGGGCCCAGTGGTGGGAGGAGAGGTGGCGGTTTTCAGGAGCCTCGTTTACAAACTCAAGTGGGTCGGATGGGGAACCCGCGCCGAGGCCGCGGGAACGGCGCCAATCCTGGCCGCAAAAGCCAACAGCCCGTGCGTGGAAAGATTTGCTGGATGCCAAAAAGATGGTCGACCATCTCAGGTCGACGGCCTCTCTCCCGATCATCGCCTGGAGGTTTAAGCCAGACGGTTTTGCGCTGGCGACGGCGAGCGATTGTGGAGGGGTGGGGGCCGAGGATAAGTGGGGGCCTCCGCATCCTCAGGAGGCCTGGCAGATTCACATGGCCGGTAACTCGCTGGCCCACGGATCCGGGGCCCGAGTTACCCCCTTTGCCTGGAGGCCCGGGAAGCTTCGGCGCCAAGTGGCGTCAGCTCTGGCCGGGGAGACTTTAGCTCTCTCCAGTGCTCTTGGCGAAACCTAATGTTTGCAGATTCTTTTGTTGGACGTCACCCGTGGTAATGTGGTGAACGAGCGCTGGAGAGAGAATCTTGGTCCTTCGTTACTTTACTGAAAGACCCATGCAAAGTGTTAGGCCCTCCCCAGCCGGCAGACAACGTGAGCGTCGTCGACGCAAAGGGGATCTACGACACTCTATCCAAGCTGACCTCCGGAGCCAAGTCCTTCCGCCGAACCGCGATAGAGTTAGCGGTCATACGAGGCACCATGGGTCGGGTCGGATCGTCGATTCGTCGATACGGTGGATGCCTCACCGCTCCTTCCGGTCGATTGTCTCACCGAAGCAGATATGGCTAAGCGTAACGCTGCTCAGCTCCATCTGTTGAAATCAGGGCTCCTTCGGCCCACGGCCGAGGAGCAGTCCCTGCAACAACGCAAGGAGGACCCCGGGGCTTAGAACCGTTCCAGGGCCGCATCGAGAAGGCAGCTTGACTAGAGTCGTCTGCTTCCTTTCTTCTTCTCCCTCCTTGTTCGGACCCAACCTGAGGCTGCGTCGCGCACTGTGCTTTTGAGTGGCGCCTTTTCTTTCAGCTCTCAGCGCCGGTGAACGTTCCCCGTGAGAACACTCTTGGCCGGAGCCTCTTTACGGGTGCTGCAGAACAGCAAGACAAGACCATTCTGCCGCGCTGTGTTTCGAGAGCAGTCGAGGAGGGTGCCCTCCACGTTTTGCCTGTCTCGGTCCGAGTTTATTCCGAGCAAGACAACGGCTGCGGAGGTGAAGGCCCTATCCCTTTGGTTCAAGGCCATACTTATTCTACTCACTTAAAGTTAATCCTCAGTCACTCACTATCCATTCCATGCCGAGACCCATACCTCCCTTTCTCTACTCCTACGAGGGCATGTGTGTGCGCGCTGCGCGATCAGAGATCGCACTGGGACCGAGAACGTGCTGAAGGAAAAGAAGGGGAGACACCTTGCCATCCAGAGATAACGTTGGTGGGGAGACATTGCAGGAAAAAACCATCAGGGGTATATACACGCTGTTTTCTTCAGGGGGTGATAATTACTCTTGCGAGCGCCGCAGGCCGTATGTCGTCTCAGGAGTATTGATATGGATCGGAGACCTGTCGGTCATAGAAAATTGCTGTACTTAGTGAGAATGTCAGAGAGTTGGGAACCCCAGCGTCGCCAGACATGACATCGTTTCGCGGTGTCCTCGGTTCTTTTCTGATATAGAATGAAGCGCGTGGCGTGGACAATCCATTATTTGCAAATGGCATCGTGCACACAAACAGCGCTCGAGTAGCACAGAGCAACGTGCGGATAGTGCAGATTAGCGCGCGAGTGGGACAGATGAGCGCGGGAATGGGGCAGACCAGGGGGACCACACTTGCACGTCACACCCCCTGGGTCATATCAAAGAAGCGGCTGTGGACAGGAAGGAATTAAGGCGCATCGCATGCATTGGAACCCCCGCAGGCCATGAGGCACGAGGAACACGAGCAGCGTGTCACCGCCTATTTTTCTTTTTGTTCCTCTTCATCCCTTTCCTCCTCGTACTGGTCGCCAGATGATCCAAGCAAAGCGCGAAGTAGCTCTAGCCAAACTTGGAATGCGTTTACATTTGTCTTTTCCGTCTTCTCGTCCCACTCCATCTTCTTCCCATTCCTACTCTAGCAGCTGCGCACGTCGCTAATCGCAGTATCGCTGATATGCGCTGTTACATCTCCTCACGGGGACATGCGACCTCCCCATGGCATCGTCGTCGAGGGAAGCAGGGCGGAGCGAGGACACTCGGGCAGGGAGCGTCAGCTACAAGCAGACAGTTGAGCTGACGAGTCAAGAAAGCAGTGCGTGGCAGGCGAACCTGCCCCTGGCGGAGTCAGCGCTTGGCTCTGTGCAGAGCACGCGCTCTCGCAGGCGAGGCGGTGTTCATGGCGGCGGCGAGGGACGCTTGGCCATGGCAGTGGCGAAGAATTAAGCACGCAGGGGCGCGGAGGATGAACATACGATGTCGAGGGGTGCCCGATTTCAGGCGAAGCTCCTGGGTTGCAACAAAAACAACAACAACAACAACAACAACAACAACAACACCAACAACAACAACAACAACAACAACAACAACAACCATTTTAAGGCTGTACGCTCTTACTTGCCCGCGAGTTATTCAACACGTATACCCTACACCCTCGATGCCCGCCCTCTTCGTATTCGATCACACCCCTTTCGGGGGGATTATTTCTCTTTGCTGGGGCCGGCGGGCTTAGACGTACGGGCAAACCGGAACGGGCGGACAATCCTTCGGGGGCGTACATCTCTCTTGCCCGCCATTGGAATTGGCGCGGGCCCTGCAAGAGGAGGAGGGGAAGAACGAGGGAGAGTGGGAGGAAGGGGAGGGGGAAGGACGAAGGAAGAGGGAAGATACCACGTTGTGAAGGCGTCCTTGGCGCGTGCGTGGTTCCTGAGCGCCGAAACGCAATTCCAGAATAATTTGTGAGGACGTCGCACGCGAGAGCGCAGTCCTGAGTACATTGTGAGGAAATCTCGGGCGGAAGCGGGGGCCCTGACTAAGTTGCGAGGAAGTCTCAAGCGGGAGCGCCGTTCCTGAGCAAATTGCACGGAAGTCTCAGGCGGGAGCGGGGGTCCTCACTAAATTGCGAGGAAGTCTCAGGCGGGAGCGCCGTTCCTGAGTCAATTGCGCGGAAATGTCAGGCAGGAGCGGGGGTCCTGAGTAAAATTCGAAGAAGTCTCAGGCGGGAGCGCCGTTCCCACGTAAATTGCACGGAAGTCTCAGGCGGGAGCGGGGGTCTTGATTACATTGCGAGGAAGTCTCAGACGGGAGCGCCTTTCCTGAGTAAATTGCGCGGAAGTCTCAGGCGGGAGCGGGGGTCCTGAGTAAAAATCGAGGAAGTCTCAGGCGGGAGCCGTTGTTGTTGTAGCCCGGGGGGCAGGGGCACAGTTTGAGCAGGAAGACTTTCCTTGAGAAAAAACAAGGTGCGAGCCCCGGGGGTGGCACTTCAATCGAAAAAAATCAATGTGCACCGGTGGGGGGGGATCAACAATAATTATTTTTCAAGAATGAGAGTTCAACAACAACAACAACAACAACAACAACAGCAACAAACAGCATCCTCACCACGGATCCCCACTAGAGCCACGCACCCAGGGACAATGAATGACCGTTCCGCCCCTTCACTCTGAACGAGCCGCGACGATCCCGGGCACGGTCGCGCCAAACGAAGTCCGGCGCACACCACGCATGCGGTGTACGCTGCACGCAGTGCTCGTGCACCGCGCCCGCATTAGCGCGCACCGGTGCCACGTGGCTGGCAGGCCGCCGCGCAGTCGAGGACATCTGCGCGGGCTTCAAAAAGCCACACCACACACATCTATCAGGAGGGGGAAAAGCACACAGACACAATTCATCGTCGACTGCCAGGAAGATCTGGGAGCGTATGGGAAGTGGGGGGGAGGACGAGATACCAGGAAAAGACAAACAAACACTCTGGGGGGTTCCTGAGATTTGTGTCTATTTATTTGTGACTCCCTGGGCACCTTGAAAGAAGCCTTTCCCCCTCCCCCTTCCCCCTGTCTACGCGCCGCCATGATGGGCCCCCAGATCCAGGCCTCCGGGCGTGGCCAGCAGAGACTCGCGGCGGCGCGGCTTTCGAGCTGTGGCGGGGCGCCTTGGCTTGCCTATGGGCCCACCCAAAGAATGTTCCAAGAACCTTTCGTGGTCTGCCCGAAACGATCTTACATTCAACCTGGTCGGGTCAGATGGCACGGCAGCACCCGCAGCTTTGGGTCCACGACCGTGGCTGTGGCTGCGCAGCTGCTCTGGCTTTGGGAGGAGGGAGAACAGGAATGATCGGGACGATCCAATGGGTACGAAAAGAATGGGTAATTACAAAGAACGACAGCAGTTCTTGTTCATTTTGAAAAGGACTCGCTGTAGGTGTCGCCGCGACCTGCATCCATTTGAGACAGAAGGCCACCTGCCCAACAGCGGTCGCTGTAGGTTTGGGACAAAATTGGTTGTTGGGCATTGTGCCCATTTGTTCCGTACCCTTGTCGGACGTCTAAAAATGAGGAGGGAGGTTCGGCGTCACAAAGACATATTTATACTATATGTGCGTCGCCCCCCCAGGGGCGACGCGCGCACCGAGAGATCTTATAGTATAAGCTCCTTGGTTGGCGCTTTGTGGCCGTGCCACTCGGGACATGATATACTACACGATGGTTGTACTAGATGGCCGGGTCGGACGCACACCTCCGAGAAGGACATCTAGTGCTAGTACGTCTCTGTGCGCCCCAGAGGCGGGAGGTGAGTGAGGATGGGGGGTGGAAGAGGAGAAAGATGATGGGCAATCTCTCTGCGCAAGCGGTAGAGTAGTGCGCGTGATGTTTGCTCTTTCTCTCGGCACTGAGCTCACACGGTGCTCGACGCATGGCTGTCCGAGCCAGGCAGGGAGGTCATGAGGAGCAGGGAGGGGCCGCCGATGTCGCAGCCGGCCCTCCTGCGCAGGACCCCACCCTCGCGGCGAGCTTGTGGGCCCTGCGCGCTGGGTTGCGACTGGCGCCGCGCCGCCGTCGTCTCCGCCTCGTCATGCTGTTTGTCCTTCTACTCAGTGTGGTCGTCGTCGTCATCGTCTGTCGTCGCCGTCCTCGTTGTCCTCGGCCTCGTACTCGTTGGCGTCGTCCGCCGCCGCCTTCAGAAGAAAACGTTCTTGAGAGGGGCAGCACGGAAGACGATGAACCCATCATGTCTTTGAATCGTGTTTTTCTCCGTCGATTTCTGCGCCTCATCCTCGTGTTCCTCTCCCGCCCGCCCGTGTTATTGTTGTTGTTATTGTTGTTGTTGTTGTTGAACATTATTTATTCTAAAGAAATTATTGTTGGGCCCCCTGGTGCGCGCCCCCCCTGCGCCGCCTAGGCCGCAGCTACATTTTCATCATTTTCGTGAGGAAGCCTCAGAAAAGAGGGTGTGTACAGGATCCGGTTGTTTTGTTGTAATCCGCTTTCCCTTGCAAAAAACAATAGAAAATGACATTTCTTGTTCTAATATAATCAAATTTCAAGAATCCCTTGCAAAAAATAAGGTAAAGTGGACATTCGCGCGCGCAAGACGAAATCCTTCCAAAACCTTAGTGTTCGCAGCGATTTTAACATAAAAACATCAAAAAACCAATGGTTTTTCAACAAAAAATGTCAAAATCTCATCCCGCGCGCTCTTGCGGATTCGTAGGAAACCCAACACTTTTTAAACATTTCTGTCAAACGGGCTTTTGCGAGCAACTTTTTCGAACTTCTGCGACAACGGTTGCGCACCTGCCAGGGCCATCATCCCTGTCAAATAATACCATGCGGGACACATTCGTTTTTTCTTCGCGCGCGCACGCCGAAATCTCCAAAAACCATTGGGCTTCTTAAGAATTTTAGCACCGCGCATCATAAAATCACACGAATCGCACCGTAGGTCCTCGAAAAACACCTGCACGACTTTTCAAAATTTCTACCCGCGCGCGCTGTCCGAATCCAAAAAAACCAATGGTTTTCCAACATTTATGTTACATGAGCTCGCGCGAGCTACTTTCGCACGCTCTTGCAACGGGGTTCGCGCGCCTGCCAGGGGCCACAATCCCTTGCGGTTGCGCCATAGGTTGCGCCCTCGGCCGCCGAGAATAAGCAAGCACAACCATCAGGACAACCATCGGGACAATCATCGGGACAACGATCGGGACAACCACAACCATCAGGACAACCATCGGGACAACCATCGAGACAACCATCGGGACAACCATATCCTCTCTCTCTTGTGTATTCCCACATCCCTCAGGAATTTGCCCTAAAGATGTGATCAACTATCTTGTGAGTACGTATCGTGTGTATCATGTGTATCATGTACCATATGCATCATATGCAACAGATGTTCTGTGGAAGGCTTAACAACTTCTGTGGGTTAACAAGGCTTAACAACTTCTGTGGGTGTACGAACGTAGGCTTAACAACTTCTGTGGGTGTGTACTCCACGCCAGTGTAGTAGCCACGGTCGTCCGCAGGCCACGAAGTGAAGTGTCCGAACGTCATAGGGCGGGAAGCTGGGTGTGGGTGGTGGCGAAGAGTCGTGTGGATATTTGGCAGAGCTTGCACAGCCCCCCCACAAAGTGGGGGTATTGGCTGGCGTCGCATGAAAACCCTGGCACTGGTGAGAACACTGAGCGTTCGGGTAAAGTGATTGTTGGTGTTGTTGTTGTTGTCGTTGTCGTTGTCGTTGTTGTTGTTCCTCATCGTCCTTCTTCTCTCCTCCCCCTCTTTCTCCTGCACATCCTCGGTCCGCGTCATCGTCATTGTCGCCGTGATCGGTATCCTCCTCTTCCTCCCGCTTCCTCCTCATCCATCATGGGTCTGAGGCATATCATTAACATGCCAACACACCAGGCTTGACGATATTTGGGCTTCGAGGCGTGCCTGCGCCACAGCGGTTGCCAATGCTGCAGCATGTTGGTGGCGAAGTGAGTTATGATGAGCTCTCTTACCCAACGTGACACTATCTTCCTCCAGCATCTTTACCATAATCGTCGTCGTCGCCCCCCGGCGAGCTGGAGCTTGCAGTTTGACGACGACCCGCAGCGTCAAACGACTCATCGAAGACGAAGGGACAGGCGACGTGCTCATGGCCCTCGTCCCGAGGACTATCTGAGCAGCTTTCGTTTCTCGTCATTGCCACCCGCGCGGCACTTGTTTGGAGGAGTTGATGCCGCTGGAGGGCGAAATCAAAGGAATTTAGCAAAACAAGAGCCACACTTACGCCTTTTATCTTTGGAGCTCATTGACACGCAACTCTACACGCATCACAGTCCAGAGCGAAGCGACAAGGTATAAACAGCACAGAGAGCTAGAGCTACATGGACATCAACACCACCTGCCAGTACTACCGCATCAGCATGCGAGTCCATCCTACCACTACCTTCTAAGCCACCGGTTACGATACCATCATTTTGTTGCATCGACCAGAGCTTCATCAGCATCTGCACCATCAAGCCATCCTCAGCCTACGCAGCAAGCAGTACAAGCTACATCCGCAGAATCAATTCCCGCACGCACGCGCGTAAGGACTAAACCACGCATTTCACTTTCTACAGAACGGCCTGTCACATCGAAAACGGCTGCACATACGTCATCTTCTCCGCTGTCTGTTGACTCGGTTGAGGCTTTTCGGCGCCACGTTGGTTCGCACATCCCTGCTCGTTCCTGCGCGCTCCCTCGGATCGTGTGGGCTCTGCGGCCAGTCTCAGCGCGACCTGATTTCGCATCTGCTCCGAGCACCTGCGCTCCCACCACTGGTGCCCCCACGACCTCGGGCTGATGTGCTCGCTGCCGCTGCTGCTGGACCGTAACGCGGGCCACTGGCGCCCCCAGGCTTCCCCCGCACAGTCTTGGAAGTCGTAAGTCGGGCCTGTCCCTCTACAGGGGGGATATCCAAAAATAGACAAAAAATAGTCGGGGGACGATTGTTCTGGTATTTTTAAGTTTGGGAGCATGTTTGGGGTATTTCTTATTGTTCGTCCAAACTCCGCCTGTAGGGGGACATGCCCGACCTAATGGAAGTCTGGAGCGCAGCTCTGCTCGGGCCGGCGCGACCTCCTCGCGGCGGGAGCGGAGCCTCGCGCGACGAGGCGGGGAGGCAGGCGGCGGAACAAGGGCGACCAGAAGACGGAGGAGGGCCTGCAGGGTCAGGGTGCAGGCCTCCGCGAGCTCATGCTCCTCGTCAGCAAGCGGGCGCTCGGCAACGCCAAAAGGTGCGCCTGCTGGAGGGCCGCGATTCTGCAGGAGGCGCAAGCTCGTGCAGGTGATGCAGGAGGAGAGGGAGCTCTTCGCGGAACGGGTAGAGCAGTACCGCGAGGAGAAGATCGACAACCCGAACGCGCCACCATCCGAACCGCCCCCGACCCTCCTCTTGGCAATACTTTCTGGATGCGACATACACCACCGAGGCGGAGAGCGGAGCCAACATGATCAACACCAAGAAGTTGAGCGAGGACATCAAGACGTGCGAAGGGCTGAGGACGCGGAGCAGCTCGTCGCGTGTGCCGGCTCGCCAAGACAGCGCATGATGATAGGGTCAGTACCGTTTTCTTCATCCAGATGTTGGGCGACAGGGAGTTCGCGCCCCTGGACGGGCTGCGCAAGGCGGGCGGCCGCCATCTTCGAGGCAACGCACCCCGCGGGCTACATGGAGAAGGAGCTCCAGGGCTGGACGGAGTGGCTCCAGGCGCACCTCAAGATGCAGACGGAGGCTTCTCCAACGACGCGCGGACACGTGTTTTTCGATGGGGTTGACTATACTTGGAGCGTCTAACCTAAAAAAGCATCATCATCATCATCATCAGCAGCAGCAGCATCATCATCATCACCGTCATCATCATCATCGTCATCGTCATCATCACCATCATCAGCAGCAGCATCATCGTCGTCATCAGCATCATCATCATCGACAACATCATCGTTATCATCATCAGCAGCAGCAGCATCATCATCATCAACATCACCTGCCCCGCTCCTCCATGTGGCGCCCTCCGTGGCCGACGAGCTGAGAACCGTGCTGCCGCTGCTCGAGGAGGCCGCCAGTGCCGCCGCGCCGGCGGGAGCGAGGGGATCAAAGAGGCGACCGCCTTCGAGATCGATTCTTTGGCGGCGCCCACGACGGTCGGGTATAGCCAGGACCCCAGGTAAGGGGACCTGGTCAGTAGAAGGGCCCCAGAGCCCCTAGATTGGCCAGGATCACTGAACCAGATCTGCTGTGGCTGGTTTTTTTTCGGGTGACGGCAGTTCCAGTTAATGGCACGGGGCGGGGGGGATGGCGTCCCCCAGCACACATCACTAACCCAGGTCCCATTAAACCCAGTTCTGCCAACGCCCGAAACGGGGTTGCGCGAAGAGGCGGCCATCTAAGAAGGCGAAGGGGGGTTCGAGGAGGCAGGGGGCTTCTTAGAGGGCCTCCTGAATTCTCGGGGACCTGCTTCGAAGCCGCTGGGCCTTTCTGAGAAGGCCCCCGCCAGGTCAGAAAGCGCCCCCTCCTCGCGTCACCCTCTGGCGGTGGGGTTCCAAGTCACGGCGTTCATGCGGGCCAGGCCGTCACCCTCTGGCAGGGGGTTCCAAGTCACGGCTTTCCTTCGGGCCAGGCAGGGTCCGCCTGACAAAGTCGTTGTCCGGCGCGCTCGCGGCAGAAGTTGTGATGAAGAAGACGAGGAGGAGGAGGAGGAGGAGGAGGAGGAGGAGGAGGGAGGGAGGGAGAGAGAGAGAGAGGTGGATATCAGAGGACGAGGATCCAAGAGGGGGGAGAGGAGGAAGGATGAGAGACGCCAACCTCTTGGCGATTGGGAAAATCACGCCAGAGACTCTTCGCCACGTTGGGCATCCAGATGCTGCTTCGGGGATTCTGGACCGTCAAAAACCTACTCCCGGTAAAAAGCCAAGCCCCAGGAGGTCAAGGAGTCGGCGATTCGTGCAACTCGAGACGGAAGAGGATTGGAATTGAATGAAGCGGCCCGGGGGGACAGGGGAAGGGGGAGGGAGAAAGGGGGAGGGGGGGAGAAAGGGACCGGGAGACGCGGCAGGGCAGAGGGGGAGGGATCCGGCGATTGCCCGACAGATCCGATTTGACCCACCCGTCGCCCCGAAGGATCGAAGGCCCGGTTCTTCCCGGAAGGGTGTGTGTATATATATATATATGTACATATCTATACATGTCGGGGGAAGGCACGAGGGGTGCTATGATTCGGGGGGCTGCCATGGCCGGGGCCGTGATGTACCTCCACGGTTCCATGGCCCGTTGTCTTATTTCAATGCGTCCCTTGGACCCCCTACCCTGGGCGGGCCACATGCCTCGGACCATGATTTGCGAAGCCCCCCTCTTGGACGCCCCCGAATAGATCGCCGCGCCGTTGGATCCGACGCGCGGCCTTACGTCTTTGGGAGGGCGCCTCGGCCACTACGGCAAGCGCCGCCTCTCGGGCCGAACAAAAGGGGGGGAATAGGGAAAGGGGGGGTTACGAAATCTGCTGCATGCAGCTGGTTTCGGCCCCGCCACCAGGCCCATTCCTCGATACATGGGCGCCTCCCGGCGCCGGGAAGATCAGCTCCGTGAGCTGATTCTCAAGCCCCCCCTTTGCTATCCGCCCTTTCGCCTGGCCCGAGCCTCCGCCGCGCTGCCGCGGTGCCGGCTTCGCCTGCTGGGTCGCGGGACGCAGGGTTTGCCGTGGGTTTGCCATGGTGTCGGTATCGTACACTTTGGCGCACGGCGCGGCGACATGTATCCGCTTCCAGATGATATCCGATGCCACCAGTCGCCAGGTAGGTCTTGCTTGGTCGGTTTGGCTGCCGCCCAGGGAAGAAAAGATGAGGAGAGGCAGACCCTCTCCGATGTCGTATCTGTTCGTGCCGCGGGCTTGTGTCGCCCCGTTCCCTGGGGCTGGTTTCCCCTACCGAGCCGTCGTTTGTTGACAGCACCCGACGGCCGAGAACACACTGTCGACCAGCCGTCGCGATTTGTTTGTCTTGCGACGCCTGGACTTGATGGGAGGAGGAGGGGGAGGAGGAGGAAGAAGAAGAGGACCGGGCAGGGCCAGGAGTGGGAGCGGCGATGGCACGCCGTCGACGCCGGCGGAGGCGTTTAAGGTCGAATTCTGCGGCGCGTCAGCACCGAGGGACGCGGTTTCACGCCACTGGGCCCGACAGAATTCAAACCTTGAGCGATCGGGGCCGCGATCCATTCAGGGGTGAACGATCGACGCGGTGACAAACACCTCTGCGCGCGCCGACGCGTCACGAGTCTACCGTAATTAAGTCGTTCCAGAGCGGTCAGGAACACTCCCAGAGCATTCCAAAGCGCTGCGGAACGGCCGCGGTGACCGATACGTCTTCCAGAGCCGCCGGGTCTCAGAGATCTCCAAATTGTCGTGGTTCAGTGTTGTCCGGGGCTCGAAAAAACACGATTCGATTTCGATGTTTGGTTCGATGTTGTCCCAGTCGATGCGTGATTGTTCCACAGATTCGATTCCTCCGATCCGATTCGATTTCGACGGCCTCCGATTCCGATCCGATTCTTCTTCGGATTCCGATCTGGATTCCGATGTCTCAACGCAGGCCTACTACATTCCGATTTGCGCCGATTCGACTTCTCTCGACTCGGCCGCCGATTTCCGCCAGTCCGGCCCATTTCGATCGCCGATCCGACATATCAATCCGATTCTGGGCTCTCTTGTCCTCCGCCATTCCCCAACAAAACAACAAAACGCCCGCTATTCAGGATCGTTTAACCTACCCCTATCTCCATCCCCACCCCTATCCAGACCCCCACCATCTCACCACCCCAGAGTCGGGGATACCCCTCGAAGCCCGACCAGAACAGCCTAGGTCCCACCCAGGGGGGTAGATTGGCCAGTGGTGCCCAGGCCACGCCCATGGGGATAGGGGTCGGTTCGACGATGACCAATTTCGGCGGCGAGCGAGGGGGTGAAGTGAGAAGAAGAAGGCCCTCCCAGAAGGCGGCGGGACTTCTCCGCAGGCCTCGCGCCTTCCGAGAAGTCTTCTTTGCCTTCGGGGAAGGCTTTAAGACAACTTCTAAGAAGGCCAGAGGACTACCGAGCCCTCTGAGAAGGCGACCCGCCCCTTCTCGCGCCCCCCCCCCTGGGCTCGCCGCCGACAGGTATCGCCGCGGAGACAAGGAAGATGGCCCCGAGGCCGCAGGCGGCCTCGTGGAGGCCTCTCCCCTCGGAGGCATATCGGTGGCGCGCCGCGGGCCGTGGAAACATGAGTCGCCGCAGGCCCCAAGGGCGTGCAGCGCACGCCCTTCCCGGGGAGCGGGGCTGAGGGTGGCCCCCGCCTCTCCTTCACGACCCACCTCCCGGTCCTTCCTCCTCCCCCTCTTCACCGCATTGTTTTTCCTCACCGTTAACTCCTCCCTGTCGCGCCCCGAGGCCGGTCGAAAGGGCGGGTCGGGCGTTCTGCTCGAGATTTCCTCACCACCTGTGGCCCTGAAGCTCCATTATTGGCAACAGCTTCGCAGGTGGAGGGCGGGCGGTTTTCAAAATGTGGCTCTCTGCCCAGCGCCGCGCACATTTGTTTCAGAAAGTTGCGAGGGCTTCACGGACCGAGGGCGTGTTTGTTGTGTGGTTCTCGCCTTCGCGCCGCGCACATTCCTGGTTAAACATTGCAAGAGTCTCACGGATTCCTATGGTCAGTTACCAGAAATAAAGTTCGGGAAAGATTGAGGATTGCAAGGGTCGACAGTTACAGTGATTCGCGGTTTTGATGTCTTTCTGGCACGATTCAGAACCGTCAAGACGCAACAGTCAGGTTGATCCATGGCGTTGGACTCCCGAGAACAATGTTTTGGCACGCCTCAGGCTGTTCAAAAGGTTATCTTCCAACGAGGCAGTTCCCTTAGTGGAAATGAACCGTTGTAGGGCAAGTGAAATGAGAGCTTGGAGGGCAGGTTTATTCCAACATCGTTGATGACTCTTGGGTTTACTCTGGTCCTCGTCCTCCTCCACCTTTCCCTCCTGCTCCTCAAAATCCTCCTTTCCCTCCTCGTCATCATTATCCTCCTTTTTCTCTCCCTCCTCCTCGTCCTTCTCCTCCTCGTCCTCTTCCCGGCGTCCAATTATCCCTCCTCCTTTTCCTCCTGCTGCTTGTCGATCGAGCAGTCCGTGATTGTTTTCAAGGCCCTCCCCGCGCTCTCATCACATCGGGGCCCCGTGACTCAAACTACGATGTGCGGTTTGGCCCCGTTCTCCGGACTCGTGGACCGACCTGGCTCGACAATTCCATTACGAACGTGTGTTTGTCAAGGGTCACAAGAGCCTGCCAGGACCAATCCCTCCCGCCTTGAAACGTTTTCCCATCATATCGACGTCTTCAACAATCTGAATGCGCCACCGCGATCTGAATTCATCTGCTCCGTGAGGCCTTCAGCGGCGACGAGGCCGATGAATATGAGCACGTGGATGCCATTGCTGCTGGTGGCGACGGCGAGCCTGGGAGTGATTGGAGCGTCCGGGAGCGCCTTGGGCAGCCAGGGGACCGCTTGGGTCCAACACCTGAGTTGGCGAGAGGCACTCCGAACGTATCATGCAATGATGTATTAGCTATGAGCGTATTGAAATCCTTCTTCAAGACCAACAGCTGTGGTTCGAATGTGATGCAGTCTGGCATGGTGAGGGCCTGGGCCATGTCAAGATCATCGAATGTGCATAGAAAATACTTGCGCGTATAACGGTCAAGGTATGGCCGAGG